ACACACAGTAGTCCCTTGTTTATCATGGGTGTTAGGGACCGCGCCCCCTCGTGATAAGTGAAAAACCGCAAAGTAGGGATACAGCAGTCCAAGTTCAAGTAAACTTTCGTGTCATTACCATCTCATGTGGTACATGAGATGGAACAAAATCATGTACACAAGTAATAGTAGTAGTAGTAAGTAGTAGTTTATTTTAATATTTATATACAGGTATATATCGGTGTTTTAAAACCTTCCCACATTCTTGCAATTTTCATAACAATTTTCTAAACTCTTAAACCTTTTAAAAATATTGTTTATAAATGGGTACTCACCAGAGAAGATGAAGATGAAATGGAGATGAAGAATTAGCTGTCCAGTGATCAATCAATCAATTGTATTTATAAAGCACCCTTCATACTAAAAGCAGCTCCAAGTGCTATACAGAATTATAAACAATAAACCCACAAAAAAAGAGCAAACAACACACACACACAATTGTATGGAAAATGTAACCGAGCAGAGACGATCCAGTTCTGGAAATGCAGTTAAAAAGATGAGTCTTGAGCTTGCTCTTAAAAACAGCAACATTCTCTGCGGCCCTCAGGTGCTCCAGCAGACTATTCCACAGACGCGGGCCATAGTACTAGAAAGAAGCCTCACCGTAAGTGTGAGTTCTGACTATTGGAACTTTTAGTAGTCCAGCTCCAGAGGACCTTAGGGCCTGTGGGGGTTCATAAGGTAATAGCAGCTCTGCAAGAAAAGATGGTGCAAGACCATTGAGACATTTAAAAACCACTAAAATAATCTTAAAATCAACCCTGAGGTGCACAGGGAGCCAATGCAATGATTTTAAAACCAGTGTAATATGAGCCTGCCTTCTGGTCTTGGTTAGCACACGAGCAGCAGAGTTTTGTAACAGCTGAAGGCTGGACAATTTTTTTCTTAGGGAGACCAGAAAGAAGTGCATTAGTAATCTAAAGTCTCAGTACTGGGGAGAGAGAGAAGAGGGCGGACTCTGGCTATATTTTTTAGATGGTAAAATCCTGTTTTGACTAAGTTTGATATGTGGAATAAAAGTAAACTCAGAGTCAAGAGGAACCCCCAGGCTTCTTACTTGTTTGGAAGGTTTTAAAGACAAATATTGTAATTTCTAAATTGTATCTTCTTTCGGACCCTCCGGTCCAATGATTAAAACTTCTGTTTTGTCCTGGTTTAGCTGGAGAAACTTCTGTGCCAGCCAGGTCTTTATGACTGAAATGCAATTAAAAAGTGCAGTGATTGGCCAGGGGTCATCATGAGATAATGAGATGTATAGCTGTATGTCATCAACTTTGTTACTTTGGGAACTTATCCCATGGTTCCTGATGACCCCACCATGCGGCAACATGTGCAAACTAAAAAGTAGGAGGCCTAAAATTGAGCTTTGGGGGATGCCATAGTTACCGTCATGGATCTGTGTGGAGCATGTATCCATACTTACCATAAAGGTTCTTTCTGTGATAGGAGCTGGACCATAGAAGAACAGTACCAGAAAGACAGACCATGTGTTGTAATCTATTTAAAATTTTTTGATGATCTTCTGTGTCAAAGGCTGCACTCAGATCCAATAGAACAAGAACTGAGAGCTTGTGTGAATACAGATTACACCTTAAATCATTTACAATTTTTAATAGGGTTGTCTCTGTGTTGGATCATCCTAAAACCAGATTGATACTTTTCTAAAATACCATTGCCATTAAAAAAATATTTAATTGAATGATAACAAGCTTTTCTGAGATTTTGCTTAAGAATGGTAAGTTGGATACAGGTCTGTAATTATTAAAAACACTAGGATCTAGATTACTCTTCTTCAGAAGGGGCTTCACCACAGCCATTTTAAAGGCAACAGGGAAGACACCCATCTGAACAGAGCAGTTTACCATGTTTAAAATGTCATACTCAAAGAATCTATAGAATGAATGAAAAAGTGATGAGGGAATTGGGTCTAAGAGGCAGGTGGTTGGTTTGACTGCCGAGCATCTCTGCATCAACCACAGCAAACTCGTCCAGTGTTTCCTCAGGTAAAAACAAACATTCAATAGATTTAAAACCAGTATTTTGCTCAGATAAAATGTTAGCTCTAATTGACTCAATCTTACCTCTGAAGTGATTTGCAAACTGCACACAAAGAGAGTTAGTCAGAGTATTTGAAGAAGCAGTAAAGTCAGGGTTAATCAGATTATCAATGGTGGAAAGCAAAACTTTGGGATTATTTTTGTGACTGTTAATTATTTTGGCAAAATATGCATTTCTTGAATTTCTGACAGCAGAGTAGTAGATACTAGAAAGTTCCTGGAGAAACTATGGCAGGGATTGCCTATTTATTATTAAATTATTGTTAATAATAAATATTAACATTAATAGTTAATAATATTAATAATTGATACTGCTTAGTAATTAATAATAATAATAATAATAATTATTATTATATAATTTATTAATAACTATTAACAATATTCATATTAATAATTATTAACATTTAAAAGTAATCATTTATGAAATTTAATATTTATACTAATTAATAATAATAATAGGTGATATTAGGTAATAATAGGTGCCTTCCATGCATTGCATAATGCACTGCCTTCCTTGCATGTTGAACCAAAATGGCTCCATACATTAGTCAGTTTCTTTGAAAACTTTTCTTCTATTCATTTCCTATGGGAAATTTGGCATATTGTTAGCAAAATACGTCGCCATGGTAACTTCAATTGCCAATAAAAGTAATAGCACACATCCCGGAGCCGGGCCGGTCGTTTTGATATAACTTTCGTGAAGGTCCACGTTGTGTTTCGGGCCGCATTAAAGTTGAAAAAGATATGCTTATAAGGCGTAGAATAATAAGTGGGCAGTCACCAACTAGTTCCTGGAGTTGGTAAAATATTGCGTCTTTGTTTGCAAATTACATCGCCATGATAACTCGAAATGCCAATAAAAGTAATAGCACACATCACGGGGCCAAGCCGGTCGTTCTGATATAACTTTTGTGGGGGTAGACATTGTGGTTTGGGACGCATTAACAGAGATAGAAATGTAGATTCACTTCCGAGGTGTAGAATAATAGGTGCCTGCCATGCATTTGCATGGCAGTCCCCAATTA